GGAAAGTTTCTCTTTCTTCTCCAGAAACGAGAGCGGGGGCTGCCTGGAAGCCCGCAGCATTCTAGGTTCTGTTGACTCAACGGCAAAAGGCAGGATCTGTGTCACCCGAAGTAGGCGATGGTGGTTTGTAAAAGTAGCTTATAAACCTGGAGCAAGCCCCCTCCTGCAAGCAGTGTTGGTGGTGGAAATTCTTTGTGGTTTCCAAACCCGTCCTGGGGTTGAAGGAGCATTTCATTGGGAGCAGTTTATGCCTTAGCGATCTACTGTTTGGATTAGGCAAGTACAAAGAGTCAGTTATTCGGGATAGCCAGGGTGGGAGAGCTATGGTTCTGGTGTCCTCGTTGTGGCTTAGGCTACGCAGAAGTTGTTTTTGCTAGCGGCGGACACTTGGGAGCCCACTGAAAAACCCACTCCCCACCTGCCAAAGGAACGGTGCACGTCCTGGCTCTCCCCCCGAACTAACTGAGGCCCTCTAAGGCTTCAATTGTGACATTCAGCAGCAAGAGGGGAGGGGCGACCAGAGACCCGAAAGAGAAACTATTTTGCCTAGCATTTATTAACCCAGATGAAGCTCCCTCACAGGGAATGAGCATACCCCAACATCACTGGAACTTCATGAAGCTCCGAAGAAAAACTAGAACCTACTGACTGCAAATCTACTATGGGTATTAGACACATTCAAATGTGTCTGCTCACTTAATCCTCACATTATACCTGTGAGATAGGTCTTATCCCAATCTTTGGTGGTCCTTCCTGTACTATCTTTGCATCTTTGAACAGTTTCATTGGTTTGTTTTTTAATCAGTGAGACAGTTGTCTTCCTTTGGGGGACATCTGGGAACGCTAAAGAAAAGTCTCCAAAACAAGCCTCATCAATTACAGAATACCTTACATCCTGTGGTTCTCAATTAATGGCCATCATTTCTCATGTACCTTTCAGTTCTGTATTTCCATTTGATGATAATCTTTTTTTTTTTTTAATTTATTTATTGGAGAGTGAGAGAGTGAGCACGAGCAGGGAGAGGGGCAGAGAGAGAGGGAGAAGCAGACTCCCCACTCAGTGGGGAGCCAGACGGATGTGGAGCTCCATCCCAGGACACCGGGATCATGACCCTAGCCTAAGGCAGATGCTTAACCGACTGAGCCACCCCAGGGGCCCCAGTGATAATCGTTTAAAAAGTAACTTGCAAGTTTTTAAGATAAAAGTTCCCAGTGTAACCCATGCATTGAACAGGCACCATCTTTAGGATATAACCAAAATGCAGTTTTATTTTTGTCTTTCTGTCCCCAAACTGAAATCTGTTCAGTTTTTCCCCCTGCCACTGGGTGAAAACTTGGGCAGTAATGGGAAGCCCTATGAGCACTTTAAATAATAAAGCGCAGTGCAGGACATTATGCTTTTCAACAATCAATCTTCATTTCTAAATAGTTCTGCCCCTTCATCCCAGCTGGAGCATGATTTCAGGCTAGGAACGCTGGTGGGCTTCTTCCCACTCTGTGTTCAGTGACATCAATCACATGGGTAGCCTGTAGCCTGGGATGGCCATGCTGGGAGTGTGACCACCACAGGAATAGGCAAATGCTGCAAGCATGGCTTTTTACCTCGAGAGCTGGTGCGCTGCTTAAAAAACAGTGGTGCACTGGTTAAATATTTACCCACAGAACACCGGGCCAAGGTCTACTGTCAAGGGAACAGGGTGTGATCCACTTCTTATTTCACTTTCTTTGGCCTTCTTCCTTTTGAGACTCAAAGGCCCTCCAAGATTGGAGTGTAGGGAGGGCAAGAGAATGGAGAAGTGAAAGTTCCTACTGGACTGGTACTATGTCAAAAGTTGGCTACCTGCCTTCTGGGCCTGAATGTGTTCTAAAGCTGACTCTCTTTCTCAGTGGTTCTCTGTGGCTTCACCCGAGGCTTCCGTGCTTGGGGTCCTTAGACAGTGTTCCAACCAGGAGGCCAGCCATGTTCTCCCAGTGTGGGTCTTTCACCACTGGTCCCAGGATCACCAGTGGCGGAGTTTAACTGCAGATTCCCATCCCCACGCAGAACTTCGACACGAGAATTTCTGGGAGCAGGGGCCTGGGAGACTGAATTTTAACAAGGCCCCCACCCCCTGCAATGATTCTAATGCCCCTAGAGTTTGAGAAACACTGAATGACATAACTGTAAGTTCCCTAAAACTGTAAGTCTCTAAAAGACGATGATCCCTAAAAGTCCATCATTTCCCTTTCCTGCTCAAAAACCTGAAAAAAAAAAAAAAGGCTTGTAGTTGCCTACTGAGTATGTGAAAAGTGAAATGAAATGGGGTCACTTATGTCAAGGGGCTTTAAAATGGAGCCAGGAGGCCATTAAGGAGATGGGCTTTATGCACATCCTCATTGGTGGAACCACATACTTTTGAACTGAGCCAAACTGCAAATATTCCAAGGGCTGAGCCCCAACACCCGCAAAACTTGCTACCATAAGAGAGTTTGTTTAGTGATAGACTTAGCCACCAATTATATTCTGTTAAGACTAGCTTTCTGCCACCAACACCAATCAAAAATTCTTTATGAACAATGCATACAAGCATTCCATTTTTGCTTTAAAAATCCCCGATTTTTGCCCCCTAGTGGGACACAATTTGGGTTGTTACCCAAGTCTGTGTACCCTGAATTGCAATTCTTTGATCCCAAATAAAACACTCTTGCTTAATTGTTGCCTCCTGACAATTTTAGATTGACAGGTAAAAATCTAAATTCCCTGGCCAAGCCTTCCATGCTTTCCATAATCCAACCGTCCCATACCCTGCTAATATTATCCTCCCGTGCCCCTCTTCAGAGACCACATTCCAAATCACCCTCTATGCTCCATCCTGCTTGTCCCACATGCTTTCCCGCCCTGATCCCTTCGCTCTGTGTACTGCCCTCCCCACTCTTCTTTCCACATCTGACCCCAACTCCAAGGCCAGCTCACCCCCATGAAGCCGCCTTGGGTCCTCCTGGTCACAAGTCACTCCCGTTTCCTCTGCATCCCAAAGCACAGGCCTTTAAAAAGTGGTGACATGGGCTAAAATGCCTTGCCATCCTTATTATTTGAGTTATTTAATAGGAAAGCCCATGAATAAAAATTGGACTCCATAATCCCCCTGGGAACCCAGTCCTGCACTCAATCATTCTACCAAATAGTCCTTCCTTTTAACCAACTTAAATACTTCCTGCTGTACTTCTATGTGAAAGCTGCCCCCTTTTAACCACCAGCATGAACAAAATGTTCCTGGGAGGAGGAAAAAAAAAAAACAACACAAATTTTTGAAGTTTAGCCAGACCAGTAAGTGAGCTGCATTTCTTTAGTTCTGCACACACACAAAAAAAGCCTCCTTGTTGACACAAGGAACAGCTACTCCTGTTCCCATGCATCTAAGGCCGCCTCATTTGATACTGGGAAAAAGCTCCAAACATATTGTACTTGCTGGGCATCTATATTAGCCAAAGCACTGGGTGCGATTCAGGTCCCCGCCTGCCAGTCATTTAGGAGTTGGGATGGTTTCTATTTCAGTGGGCCCAGAAGTCACCCTTTCTAAGGGCACTGAAAATAAGCACCAATTAAATTCTGCTCTCCCAGGGAGAGCTCTGGCCAGCACAGACCCAGCCTATGGCACGAAGTTAACCTCCAAGCTCTTTTGGGTAACAGCACCTGCCCCTGCTGACCAGTTGGGGTGAGTTAATCTTCATGGCCTAACACTAGGTTCAGTTTCTAAAATTGGATCTGAGCTCAGGAGGCCCCTGGGATGACAGAGTTTCCTCAGGGCTAGTTTAAATTATATAACTCTGCCCCTTCAATTCTACCCCAAATCTAGCAACTCCTACTCATCCTATGACTCAGGGCAAATACCCTTGAACTCCTGAAAATGGGTTAGGTGCTGTTCTGTGCATGCACCCCATTAAATCATGAGGCTAGACGAACTCACTGCTTCCCTCTCTGTGGTGGTCTATAAAACCCTGATGGCAGAGTCTGGTTCTTATTCTGTCGTATTCCCAGCTTCTAGCACAGTGCTTGGCACACAGAACCATTTACTGAATGAATCAGTCTCCTAAAATATCTTTGTTTTTTTGGGGACCCTCGTATGAAGGTTACTTTTTTCCTCAAATCAACAAATAACAGGAAGAAACTATTCTTCTGTCAGGAACAAATAATCTCTACAACATGGTTATCTTTCCTGATACTCAGTCAGTGTTGGAGTGGTTGCTTACTTGATTCATTTATTCATTCAGTAATCAGTGAGTCCCAGAGGAATTGTCTTGGTTTTCACGTGGCACGTCAATGGCAAGGCGACTAAAGGTCTCAAGGGGACCATAATTTCAACATCTGAGCAACTACAGCATAGAACAAGAAACCACATCGCTGTCTGCTAATATCCTTCCCCACCTCACAGATACTCTCTTCTTCTCCTAATACCTTCCTTTCATCTGCTCTGCTCACAGAAGACGGGGAGAGCCTTGGCAGACCATCCTCATACTCCCCTGGATGTGTCCTCCTACCAGAGACTAGCCCTGGGACAGAGAGAGAGCTTTTCTCATTTTTCTGGAGAACCACACTCCACAGAGTGGTACAAGTCCAGGTACTCCGTGGCCCGGCATCTAGAAAATGTGCCCAGCATTATGGCCCTCTGAGACCTTCAATGAGTTTACTTTGCCACTTAAGTGCCAGGTGGAAATCAAGGTGGATGGGAGGTTAAAACTATTTCTGGTTCATTTCTGAACTTCCCACCAGCAGTTCTGAGTTGAGTGAGCT